GCTATATCTATCATATTGGTCATTTCACGCGTTACAGTCCATAGGAATGAAAAATTCTTGAGAGAATCATCCCTATATACCCAGACTTTTCAGTTGGAGACCAGGGAGGGGGTGACCACCATTTTTCTAAACATGTTCAACAAAAGACTAGTTGCCCCCATCCCCTCTCACTTTTTGTTGCAGTGTAGTCATATAAGGGTCATGTACTTTGGCGTATGGGTAAAATTTGGTACTTAAAGAAGTTGAATCCCACCTTTTACCCAATAGAGTTTTCGAGTTTCAAGTTTTTTTTTTTGGTTTGTCTATTTTTGTTTTCTCCGGCCTCCCCCTTTTCAAAAACAGTGCTACATCTTTAAATTCTAGGTGTATTCGCTGTAAAATTGAAAATATCAAGACGATATCGCACGTTTCTTTTTCTTTTTGCCTAAGGAATATTTTTTTTAGTTATTCTGGTGTCAAATACTGCGCTTACTAAAGATATTTCTTATTGAAAAGTGATTTTCTTTACAAAATATTAATTCATATTTTCATTTTAAAAGATCGGGAGAAGTTTCTGGTATGACCCGGTCTAGCCTGGTTCCGCACCCTGGCCTTTGCAATTCATTAATTCAAAATACACTAGTTTCGTCCCCAGAATCACGCGACTGCGCGTGAGCAGTTAATATCGTAAAATAAAATTCAGTTCAGTTGAAGGTCCGAAAAAAAACTCAATGCATATACTAAATAGAGAATATTACATGCTAAAATCCATATCATATGTCATATCAGCCCGAGTGGCCCCATATCAGCCCAAGGGCCGAAGGCCCGAGGGCTGATATGGGGCCCGAGGGCTGATGTGACATATGATATGGATTTTAGTATGTAGTATTCTATTTATCATATATTTAAAATACTTAATATGCGAGTTCACATATGGTCGTTGAAGAGTGATTGTGCTTGTTACTTTTGTTAGTGACATTTTTCTTTAGAATCTTATAGAGCCAATTTTAGGTACTTAGTAACTGGAAATAAATTAAGACCACAAAAGTCATTTAAGAATTATTTTATATAAATATTGATATAAAATCAAGTAAATTAACTTTAAAACTTAATACAAACGTTACTTCCGGTTTGATATGGATTTTCGGCCCGCCGGTCCGATACGTGATATGGCTTTTCGGACCGGTCCGTGATATGGGGTATTGTGACGTCACCCATATCACATCGTGCTGAATCGGTGTTTTTACTACTAAGTATATGATAATAATTATTAAAATAGTTTGACATTATTTATCAATAAAAATTGAGTTCAATCATTCTACAAAAAACTTGAATAGAGTTATATTTTTCATCTCGGAGCTCCTCGGGTGGCTCGTCGAGGATTTGGCTGTTCTTTTCTTTTGTTTCTGCTTAAAAGCAATTCTTCTTGGTTTATGCATAATGAATCCGTTACTTTGTTCTCACTGTTTACAATTTACATCCCATGTTTCATCTATTCTTAAAGCGATTTTCGCCGTATTAAAAAGGTTATTTCAAAGAATTTTTATGGCCATTTTAGGATTTTTTTTTTTTTTTGCTCAACTCTTCAATGTACTTTTTAAGCAAGAATTTTTATAGAAACTTTCTCATATATCAAATCTAAATCAAATTACAAATTTCAATTTTCAATAATTTTTTAAAACGCCGAATTCCAAAGAAATAAAGTTTATTTTACTTTTCTTATGCAGACTATCAAAATGGCCGTAGGAACCGGGGGGTGGGGTAGGGGTCCCTATAATTTTGCCGCTATTTAAAACACTGTAGAAAACATAGCTTATATGAATGTTTGTGTTTTCCTATAATGTTTAATACATGTATTTTTTCATTTCATTTTATATTAAAAATCCAGATATAAACCCGGCTTACTTGATCCACGGATCAACGACTGAGCTGTACTTATCTGAGCCATAGATACGCAACCGACCATTAGTGTTATGGTTCGAACACATGTACTTGTGGACAGGACCCCCCCCCCCCCCCCGATATTCAACCCCGGGGCTTTTTGGACATTTTTTTTTCTTCAAAAATTATATTTATTACACTTATTCATCATGTGTACAATATAAAAAAAATCCTCGAAACCCCTAAACAACTATACATTATAAGGGTATTTATTTGTGGAGCGATTGTTTTGGGGTTTTGAGGATTTTTTCATATTTTCACGATTAATAAAAGTAATAAATATAATTTTTGAATAATATGTCCAATAAGCCCCGGGCTGAATATCGGAAGGAGGGGGGATGGTCCTGTCCATAAGTACCTGTGGGTTCGAATCCACCTATTGACACAATTTAATATTTTCAATCTTTTACCCCGTATAAACAGTCAGTTAATTTGCTTATTAAGCAGTTTTTGCATTCTATTTCTATTTTATAAAAGTCATTGAAATGCAGACAATAATTCTCTTAAATTAAACACAGTCAAGTGGAACCATATACCTCAATGTGAACACACTTTGTTTGAGGACACGTATCATTAACTTAGTGTTAAGCGTACTGGATACAGGTGTCAAGGGCAAAAAAAAATATGCCAAGTGCCCCCCACCCCCTCCCCCCTTCCGGACGCCCATGATTTAAAACAGGGTAAATAACTCTGTATTCAGTATTACGTTTTTGGCGTAGCACTAGCTAGAACCCCCAGTTTTTCTGTGCTGAAAGTGACTGGTTAATGACCCATGCAGTGATGCACAAAACCGTTCACCATGCAGTTGTATTACAAGCTAGCTAGCACACAGCAGAGGGTGATTAAGGATCAAAGGGTGCATATGCTACTATAGCAAGCAAGCGTGCAAAGTGTTAGGATAAAAAGATATGTGACTACATTAAAGATATGTGACTACATTAAAGATATGTGACTACATTATATAGCAGTGAAACATTCATGCATTAGACACACAGAACAACAGCTACAAACTACAATAAATGATTCTTTCTATATCTACTAGTATTTACATTACATCAAGATGCTGGTTTCGAGATACATTACTAAACACACATCGAGGAGAAATTTGAAGATTTGCGCGGACACTGTATGGGGACGACCATGTGATTCTGAAGGGGGTGGGGTAACAAATTTTTCCGAGTCATATTACATATAATTCTTTTACAGATTATCGATTTCTAATAAGATTAGGACATATTATTTATTTCCTTCTTCAACGAAAGAGTCTGACAAGCAAAAAAAAAAAAAAATATATATATATATATATATATTAAAAAATAATAAATAAATGAATAAATGAAAATAACAAAATTAAAGTCGAAAAAAAAAACCGTGGGGGAGATAATCAAGGAAAGATTATTTTTTTTTATTGTCAATCTAGGACAGATTATTTATTTTAGACAGTGCCTCCTTTACTTTTTTCCAGATACCTTAACTATATCTTTTTACTCTATGTCTATAGAAAATGTCCATGAAACCTTACCCCCCCCCCCCCCCCCCCGTAACACACACAAAGCCTGACAACCTTTTTGTTTTCTTTTTTAATAGTAAAAATATGGGCATGTGTATGAACAGAAGAATGTGAAAAAACCTGACCCCCCCCCCCAACTTCCCAAGATATTCAAATTTGGGCAATTCTTTTTTTTTTCCTCGTTTTAATGTTATTTATTTATTTATTTTTATCAAGTTTCATGTTAGTTAAAATTCTATCCTCTCAAAAACGATGTTATATGCCAGTGCATTTTTTTTTATGTAGATCTATGCCTATCATTTTCCCTGTCACTGCAATTTAGAGCGTGACGTCACCAAAGCTTACAATCTCAAGATTTGCACACTAAATATGCACCTCTTAACTAGAGGTGAAACAAGTGGGCGGATCATAGATCTTCTAATTTTAAAGACCCATTTTTGTACTGAAGACTTTCCAGTTTCGCTTTCCCCTTGTAATATTTAATTGCCTGGTTAAAGTAGAACATTTTACAAAAATATTAGAGTACGTCTGATGAACAACAAAGACAGGAAACCTTATATTACGCAGAATGCTCAATCGCCATTTTGCTCTCCACTCGGACTTCCTCGGATGACTCGTAACTCGCACATGGAGCCGAGGATTGCCGATTGGAAAAGTTCGGGAAAACAATGTACCCCGTGACGTCATTTTTCACAGCGTGACGTGGAGCAGTGGTAGTCTGCATTAGGAAGTTGCTGGAAGTTGGTAGTGTTTACATCGCCGCGTTATTTCTGATCATTTCTTTGGATTTAAATGTCACGATTGTCAAAAATAATGGTAAATGTTTGCAGTGTGCATCGAGAATACGAATCGGTATGTATTGTTCTTTGCTGCGATAGTATTTCTAAGTCTTCATTCATGGACAGCTCGACAGCGTTGTTGACTATGTTCAACAGATATTTCGGACTCGGGAGTAACTTAAGCGATTACGGTGGGATTGTAGCTTAATTAAAAGACGGATCGTTTTGAAGGATTACTTAATATTGCCGCTTATACGAAGGAAAATGCAGAGATTAGCGAGTAAATATTGAGGCATAAGCGCAGATGGGTTAGTCTATGCGATGCATGGAAATCTGACTAACCCCCCAGAGTAACGCATGCGCAAATGGGTTAGTACATGCTGTGCATGGGAAACTGACTAACCCCTAAAGCATAACATCAGATTCACTACACAATACCAAACTATTGCAGAAAAAATAATTAAAAAAAAAAAAATGAAAATTTGAAATTAAAAGAGAACAGAAACATAAAAAAAAATATTTAAAAACAACAACTTTTGCAATATTTCATTAAATTTATTTGGTACCCATATACACACTTACCCACTTAGTCAACATATTTCAGTTAGATATATTTCGTACCCATATACACACTTACCCACTTAGTCAACATCTACTACAGTGGAAACTGATATTTCGAGAAAAACTAAGGTAACATATAGGCACTACACCTGAAATTATGATTTACTTGAATTCCGAGATAAATAATTATTCCGAGATTAAATAATATCCTGTTACTAATTATTTTTAGAATCGGTAGGAGAAGAAAGTAGTGCAGAAAAAATTACAAGTTCCTTAACTTGCAGACTTGCATAAAAAAAATTGTGCAGATGTACTAAACTGAGCCTCACACTTGTTGATAAGGAGTATCTTTCCTACCAAAAAAGTTTGGCAAATGTAATTCATCAAGAAGATCAGCCGAATTATTTTGTGTATTATAACGCCAGTTAGAACTCTGAGTTTCCCCTACTTTCACTTTCATTTTTAGAGGTTGCCGCAGACAGACGCATTTTGCCGGAAAACGAATCTGACATGCCACCTCGAGATTTTGACCAAGGAAAGACAAGTTGATGTGCTTTGATTTGAGGGGTCACTCACTGCTGAACGAAAATTAGGGACATCGCTATGAGAAGAAACGTTAACATTGTCGCCTATGGGAAAACAATTAGTGGACTGTACCCATATTGGGAAGCCTATAAGTAAGTGAAAAATGTCATAGATCTTGACTTTATTTCAAAGTTGGTGTTTTCTATCATTTCTAATTGTTCAAACTTATGAAAAAAAGAATTCTTATTTTGTTGATACATATTTTCAAACAAATTAATTCATAAATAAATTTTCTAGACCCCCCCTCCCCCCCCCCCCGAACAGACTTGTATCACCCATTGTTTACACATGTATCGTAAATTAAATGTGTATCGATTTGTATATCATTTGTTTATTCAGAATCACAAATATATATTTAGATGAAAGAGTAATTATGTGGAAGTACATGCTCCACTGTCTTTTATTTTCATTACACAAAAATTCACAATTTAGGTCGGAATCGGTATTCAATCAGGGTCAAGGTCAAAGTGAAAGTAGACTTAGCAGAAAGTTATCAAAACTGTTCAGTGCTGTGTCTAGCAGTATAAAGAGGATAGGCATTTGTATTTTACACAGAAGGTAAGAGGTATGCCTTAGTACAGTATTTGTAAATTAGAATTTAATGTTTTTGGAACAGGATGATCAACACGTCACATACACGACATACATCATTGCGAATCAGTCGCTCGGTCAAGCTGGGTGCAGTTGTCTGGGAGTTAAACGATGTGTGTGAATATGCTCGTTAACTGATTTTTTTCTCATATTTTTAGCAATTGCATTACAAGTATTTGTTGAATGTACAATTATTGTCAGTTAAACATGCTTTTTACTTATTCTGCTGAATTAACTTGCCAATGTTAACATGGTGATTTCAAGTGGGAGCAAATTTATAATTTTTAATTAATTACAACTTATGGGCATAAAAGGAATATGGTAAAATTGTATGTGTGGAATGTCTGTGTGTCTGTCTGTCTTTAAATGTGAATGTTTGAGGTGTTTTTGAGCCTGATAATTATTGTGCCATTTATTGAATTGATTTCTTTTTAGGGTCATGGTCATTGGTACAGGAAAACCATGAGGTTCATGCAGGTGGTGTTTAAAACTATTGGCCAGCAAACACACACCCATTTGAAAACATCTTGAAATTTCACGGTCACCAGCAAAAAGTGGCAGTTGGCAAAATGTGTAAGTTAAACTTTTCTTAAAAAAAAAAAAAATTATTAAAGTGTGTGTGTGTGTGGGGGGTGGGGGGTACATATTAAATAGGTGATAAAATTGTGAAAGTATTCATGTATAGCTAATTTGTACGTGCACTGCTATATATTTTGCAGCTCATATAGATTTTTTTTCTTGTATAAGAATTTCAAAGTAATTAGATCTACATCTTTGTTTTGTAAATAACGCATTATTTAGATTACACGAATAGAAGAATTGAAATTTCTTAAATATTTGACTGTCAAAATTATGTGATTTGTCAGGAAATTCAAAATTTTGTCTCATTTTCCTACAAATTACAAAATGGTTACCATGGAAACAAAACAACTTTAGAAGATTATTTATTTAATCAGGTAAACCACATATTTTAATTTTTTATAGTTAAAATGATTAGATTAGCACTGATTTTGTCTTAAATGAAAAGTACGGGAAAAGTGATGATACACATGTATTGAGCTATCCATTATTATGATGTCATTATGACGTCATAGATGAGTAAATTTGCATTGGCATAAAAATTGCTTTGAAGCAAATGATTGTATATAGGAGTATAAAGGCTTATAAATTTTTTATTCATAGACCAAATTTCATGAATGATGCATCAATGGACAGGAAATAATCAGTACTTTCTTGCTTTACTACTTTCGGGGTATTTGTTAACTTAATTTTTTTGTCATTTCTGGAGAAACTATGAATTATAGGGTGAGAAATGGTCATATTTTGTGCGGAAATACATTAATTTTTTAAAATAAGAGAAATTGACCCATTTAAGTGCTTGATTATGATTTGACTAATTGTATTTAAAGTTATGAAGGAGAGTAAGAATGATGTAAATGTGTTAATAGGCTAACATTTGACTTAAAACTTGGGTGCAGTTTTGGCTAGATTGGAGCATTTTTTAAGGATATTACACATAGAACTGTATATGCTGTAAAATCTTAATTAATGGTTGAATTTTCATGAAACTTGGCATGTTACCTCTACTTATGCTCTAGATTGACAAACAGTGTGAAATATTGTAAAATCTAAAAAATGCTTTTTCATATTGGGTACATCCCACTAATTATTTTTAGAATCGGTAGGAGAAGAAAGTAGTGCAGAAAAAATTACAAGTTCCTTAACTTGCAGACTTGCATAAAAAAAATTGTGCAGATGTACTAAACTGAGCCTCACACTTGTTGATAAGGAGTATCTTTCCTACCAAAAAAGTTTGGCAAATGTAATTCATCAAGAAGATCAGCCGAATTATTTTGTGTATTATAACGCCAGTTAGAACTCTGAGTTTCCCCTACTTTCACTTTCATTTTTAGAGGTTGCCGCAGACAGACGCATTTTGCCGGAAAACGAATCTGACATGCCACCTCGAGATTTTGACCAAGGAAAGACAAGTTGATGTGCTTTGATTTGAGGGGTCACTCACTGCTGAACGAAAATTAGGGACATCGCTATGAGAAGAAACGTTAACATTGTCGCCTATGGGAAAACAATTAGTGGACTGTACCCATATTGGGAAGCCTATAAGTAAGTGAAAAATGTCATAGATCTTGACTTTATTTCAAAGTTGGTGTTTTCTATCATTTCTAATTGTTCAAACTTATGAAAAAAAGAATTCTTATTTTGTTGATACATATTTTCAAACAAATTAATTCATAAATAAATTTTCTACCCCCCCCCCCCCCCCCCCCCCCCCGAACAGACTTGTATCACCCATTGTTTACACATGTATCGTAAATTAAATGTGTATCGATTTGTATATCATTTGTTTATTCAGAATCACAAATATATATTTAGATGAAAGAGTAATTATGTGGAAGTACATGCTCCACTGTCTTTTATTTTCATTACACAAAAATTCACAATTTAGGTCGGAATCGGTATTCAATCAGGGTCAAGGTCAAAGTGAAAGTAGACTTAGCAGAAAGTTATCAAAACTGTTCAGTGCTGTGTCTAGCAGTATAAAGAGGATAGGCATTTGTATTTTACACAGAAGGTAAGAGGTATGCCTTAGTACAGTATTTGTAAATTAGAATTTAATGTTTTTGGAACAGGATGATCAACACGTCACATACACGACATACATCATTGCGAATCAGTCGCTCGGTCAAGCTGGGTGCAGTTGTCTGGGAGTTAAACGATGTGTGTGAATATGCTCGTTAACTGATTTTTTTCTCATATTTTTAGCAATTGCATTACAAGTATTTGTTGAATGTACAATTATTGTCAGTTAAACATGCTTTTTACTTATTCTGCTGAATTAACTTGCCAATGTTAACATGGTGATTTCAAGTGGGAGCAAATTTATAATTTTTAATTAATTACAACTTATGGGCATAAAAGGAATATGGTAAAATTGTATGTGTGGAATGTCTGTGTGTCTGTCTGTCTTTAAATGTGAATGTTTGAGGTGTTTTTGAGCCTGATAATTATTGTGCCATTTATTGAATTGATTTCTTTTTAGGGTCATGGTCATTGGTACAGGAAAACCATGAGGTTCATGCAGGTGGTGTTTAAAACTATTGGCCAGCAAACACACACCCATTTGAAAACATCTTGAAATTTCACGGTCACCAGCAAAAAGTGGCAGTTGGCAAAATGTGTAAGTTAAACTTTTCTTAAAAAAAAAAAAATTATTAAAGTGTGTGTGTGTGTGGGGGGTGGGGGGTACATATTAAATAGGTGATAAAATTGTGAAAGTATTCATGTATAGCTAATTTGTACGTGCACTGCTATATATTTTGCAGCTCATATAGATTTTTTTTCTTGTATAAGAATTTCAAAGTAATTAGATCTACATCTTTGTTTTGTAAATAACGCATTATTTAGATTACACGAATAGAAGAATTGAAATTTCTTAAATATTTGACTGTCAAAATTATGTGATTTGTCAGGAAATTCAAAATTTTGTCTCATTTTCCTACAAATTACAAAATGGTTACCATGGAAACAAAACAACTTTAGAAGATTATTTATTTAATCAGGTAAACCACATATTTTAATTTTTTATAGTTAAAATGATTAGATTAGCACTGATTTTGTCTTAAATGAAAAGTACGGGAAAAGTGATGATACACATGTATTGAGCTATCCATTATTATGATGTCATTATGACGTCATAGATGAGTAAATTTGCATTGGCATAAAAATTGCTTTGAAGCAAATGATTGTATATAGGAGTATAAAGGCTTATAAATTTTTTATTCATAGACCAAATTTCATGAATGATGCATCAATGGACAGGAAATAATCAGTACTTTCTTGCTTTACTACTTTCGGGGTATTTGTTAACTTAATTTTTTTGTCATTTCTGGAGAAACTATGAATTATAGGGTGAGAAATGGTCATATTTTGTGCGGAAATACATTAATTTTTTAAAATAAGAGAAATTGACCCATTTAAGTGCTTGATTATGATTTGACTAATTGTATTTAAAGTTATGAAGGAGAGTAAGAATGATGTAAATGTGTTAATAGGCTAACATTTGACTTAAAACTTGGGTGCAGTTTTGGCTAGATTGGAGCATTTTTTAAGGATATTACACATAGAACTGTATATGCTGTAAAATCTTAATTAATGGTTGAATTTTCATGAAACTTGGCATGTTACCTCTACTTATGCTCTAGATTGACAAACAGTGTGAAATATTGTAAAATCTAAAAAATGCTTTTTCATATTGGGTACATCCCACTAATTATTTTTAGAATCGGTAGGAGAAGAAAGTAGTGCAGAAAAAATTACAAGTTCCTTAACTTGCAGACTTGCATAAAAAAAATTGTGCAGATGTACTAAACTGAGCCTCACACTTGTTGATAAGGAGTATCTTTCCTACCAAAAAAGTTTGGCAAATGTAATTCATCAAGAAGATCAGCCGAATTATTTTGTGTATTATAACGCCAGTTAGAACTCTGAGTTTCCCCTACTTTCACTTTCATTTTTAGAGGTTGCCGCAGACAGACGCATTTTGCCGGAAAACGAATCTGACATGCCACCTCGAGATTTTGACCAAGGAAAGACAAGTTGATGTGCTTTGATTTGAGGGGTCACTCACTGCTGAACGAAAATTAGGGACATCGCTATGAGAAGAAACGTTAACATTGTCGCCTATGGGAAAACAATTAGTGGACTGTACCCATATTGGGAAGCCTATAAGTAAGTGAAAAATGTCATAGATCTTGACTTTATTTCAAAGTTGGTGTTTTCTATCATTTCTAATTGTTCAAACTTATGAAAAAAAGAATTCTTATTTTGTTGATACATATTTTCAAACAAATTAATTCATAAATAAATTTTCTAGACCCCCCCCCCCCCCCCGAACAGACTTGTATCACCCATTGTTTACACATGTATCGTAAATTAAATGTGTATCGATTTGTATATCATTTGTTTATTCAGAATCACAAATATATATTTAGATGAAAGAGTAATTATGTGGAAGTACATGCTCCACTGTCTTTTATTTTCATTACACAAAAATTCACAATTTAGGTCGGAATCGGTATTCAATCAGGGTCAAGGTCAAAGTGAAAGTAGACTTAGCAGAAAGTTATCAAAACTGTTCAGTGCTGTGTCTAGCAGTATAAAGAGGATAGGCATTTGTATTTTACACAGAAGGTAAGAGGTATGCCTTAGTACAGTATTTGTAAATTAGAATTTAATGTTTTTGGAACAGGATGATCGAAACGTCACATATACACGACATACATCATTGCAAATCAGTCGCTCGGTCAAGCTGGGTGCAGTTGTCTGGGAGTTAAACGATGTGTGTGAATATGCTCGTTAACTGATTTTTTTCTCATATTTTTAGCAATTGCATTACAAGTATTTGTTGAATGTACAATTATTGTCAGTTAAACATGCTTTTTACTTATTCTGCTGAATTAACTTGCCAATGTTAACATGGTGATTTCAAGTGGGAGCAAATTTATAATTTTTAATTAATTACAACTTATGGGCATAAAAGGAATATGGTAAAATTGTATGTGTGGAATGTCTGTGTGTCTGTCTGTCTTTAAATGTGAATGTTTGAGGTGTTTTTGAGCCTGATAATTATTGTGCCATTTATTGAATTGATTTCTTTTTAGGGTCATGGTCATTGGTACAGGAAAACCATGAGGTTCATGCAGGTGGTGTTTAAAACTATTGGCCAGCAAACACACACCCATTTGAAAACATCTTGAAATTTCACGGTCACCAGCAAAAAGTGGCAGTTGGCAAAATGTGTAAGTTAAACTTTTCTTAAAAAAAAAAAAATTATTAAAGTGTGTGTGTGTGTGGGGGGTGGGGGGTACATATTAAATAGGTGATAAAATTGTGAAAGTATTCATGTATAGCTAATTTGTACGTGCACTGCTATATATTTTGCAGCTCATATAGATTTTTTTTCTTGTATAAGAATTTCAAAGTAATTAGATCTACATCTTTGTTTTGTAAATAACGCATTATTTAGATTACACGAATAGAAGAATTGAAATTTCTTAAATATTTGACTGTCAAAATTATGTGATTTGTCAGGAAATTCAAAATTTTGTCTCATTTTCCTACAAATTACAAAATGGTTACCATGGAAACAAAACAACTTTAGAAGATTATTTATTTAATCAGGTAAACCACATATTTTAATTTTTTATAGTTAAAATGATTAGATTAGCACTGATTTTGTCTTAAATGAAAAGTACGGGAAAAGTGATGATACACATGTATTGAGCTATCCATTATTATGATGTCATTATGACGTCATAGATGAGTAAATTTGCATTGGCATAAAAATTGCTTTGAAGCAAATGATTGTATATAGGAGTATAAAGGCTTATAAATTTTTTATTCATAGACCAAATTTCATGAATGATGCATCAATGGACAGGAAATAATCAGTACTTTCTTGCTTTACTACTTTCGGGGTATTTGTTAACTTAATTTTTTTGTCATTTCTGGAGAAACTATGAATTATAGGGTGAGAAATGGTCATATTTTGTGCGGAAATACATTAATTTTTTAAAATAAGAGAAATTGACCCATTTAAGTGCTTGATTATGATTTGACTAATTGTATTTAAAGTTATGAAGGAGAGTAAGAATGATGTAAATGTGTTAATAGGCTAACATTTGACTTAAAACTTGGGTGCAGTTTTGGCTAGATTGGAGCATTTTTTAAGGATATTACACATAGAACTGTATATGCTGTAAAATCTTAATTAATGGTTGAATTTTCATGAAACTTGGCATGTTACCTCTACTTATGCTCTAGATTGACAAACAGTGTGAAATATTGTAAAATCTAAAAAATGCTTTTTCATATTGGGTACATCCCACTAATTATTTTTAGAATCGGTAGGAGAAGAAAGTAGTGCAGAAAAAATTACAAGTTCCTTAACTTGCAGACTTGCATAAAAAAAATTGTGCAGATGTACTAAACTGAGCCTCACACTTGTTGATAAGGAGTATCTTCCTACCAAAAAAGTTTGGCAAATGTAATTCATCAAGAAGATCAGCCGAATTATTTTGTGTATTATAACGCCAGTTAGAACTCTGAGTTTCCCCTACTTTCACTTTCATTTTTAGAGGTTGCCGCAGACAGACGCATTTTGCCGGAAAACGAATCTGACATGCCACCTCGAGATTTTGACCAAGGAAAGACAAGTTGATGTGCTTTGATTTGAGGGGTCACTCACTGCTGAACGAAAATTAGGGACATCGCTATGAGAAGAAACGTTAACATTGTCGCCTATGGGAAAACAATTAGTGGACTGTACCCATATTGGGAAGCCTATAAGTAAGTGAAAAATGTCATAGATCTTGACTTTATTTCAAAGTTGGTGTTTTCTATCATTTCTAATTGTTCAAACTTATGAAAAAAAGAATTCTTATTTTGTTGATACATATTTTCAAACAAATTAATTCATAAATAAATTTTCTAGACCCCCCCCCCCCCCCCCCCCCCCCCCCCGAACAGACTTGTATCACCCATTGTTTACACATGTATCGTAAATTAAATGTGTATCGATTTGTATATCATTTGTTTATTCAGAATCACAAATATATATTTAGATGAAAGAGTAATTATGTGGAAGTACATGCTCCACTGTCTTTTATTTTCATTACACAAAAATTCACAATTTAGGTCGGAATCGGTATTCAATCAGGGTCAAGGTCAAAGTGAAAGTAGACTTAGCAGAAAGTTATCAAAACTGTTCAGTGCTGTGTCTAGCAGTATAAAGAGGATAGGCATTTGTATTTTACACAGAAGGTAAGAGGTATGCCTTAGTACAGTATTTGTAAATTAGAATTTAATGTTTTTGGAACAGGATGATCAACACGTCACATACACGACATACATCATTGCGAATCAGTCGCTCGGTCAAGCTGGGTGCAGTTGTCTGGGAGTTAAACGATGTGTGTGAATATGCTCGTTAACTGATTTTTTTCTCATATTTTTAGCAATTGCATTACAAGTATTTGTTGAATGTACAATTATTGTCAGTTAAACATGCTTTTTACTTATTCTGCTGAATTAACTTGCCAATGTTAACATGGTGATTTCAAGTGGGAGCAAATTTATAATTTTTAATTAATTACAACTTATGGGCATAAAAGGAATATGGTAAAATTGTATGTGTGGAATGTCTGTGTGTCTGTCTGTCTTTAAATGTGAATGTTTGAGGTGTTTTTGAGCCTGATAATTATTGTGCCATTTATTGAATTGATTTCTTTTTAGGGTCATGGTCATTGGTACAGGAAAACCATGAGGTTCATGCAGGTGGTGTTTAAAACTATTGGCCAGCAAACACACACCCATTTGAAAACATCTTGAAATTTCACGGTCACCAGCAAAAAGTGGCAGTTGGCAAAATGTGTAAGTTAAACTTTTCTAAAAAAAAAAAAAATTATTAACGTGTGTGTGTGTGTGGGGGGTGGGGGGTACATATTAAATAGGTGATAAAATTGTGAAAGTATTCATGTATAGCTAATTTGTACGTGCACTGCTATATATTTTGCAGCTCATATAGATTTTTTTTCTTGTATAAGAATTTCAAAGTAATTAGATCTACATCTTTGTTTTGTAAATAACGCATTATTTAGATTACACGAATAGAAGAATTGAAATTTCTTAAATATTTGACTGTCAAAATTATGTGATTTGTCAGGAAATTCAAAATTTTGTCTCATTTTCCTACAAATTACAAAATGGTTACCATGGAAACAAAACAACTTTAGAAGATTATTTATTTAATCAGGTAAACCACATATTTTAATTTTTTATAGTTAAAATGATTAGATTAGCACTGATTTTGTCTTAAATGAAAAGTACGGGAAAAGTGATGATACACATGTATTGAGCTATCCATTATTATGATGTCATTATGACGTCATAGATGAGTAAATTTGCATTGGCATAAAAATTGCTTTGAAGCAAATGATTGTATATAGGAGTATAAAGGCTTATAAATTTTTTATTCATAGACCAAATTTCATGAATGATGCATCAATGGACAGGAAATAATCAGTACTTTCTTGCTTTACTACTTTCGGGGTATTTGTTAACTTAATTTTTTTGTCATTTCTGGAGAAACTATGAATTATAGGGTGAGAAATGGTCATATTTTGTGCGGAAATACATTAATTTTTTAAAATAAGAGAAATTGACCCATTTAAGTGCTTGATTATGATTTGACTAATTGTATTTAAAGTTATGAAGGAGAGTAAGAATGATGTAAATGTGTTAATAGGCTAACATTTGACTTAAAACTTGGGTGCAGTTTTGGCTAGATTGGAGCATTTTTTAAGGATATTACACATAGAACTGTATATGCTGTAAAATCTTAATTAATGGTTGAATTTTCATGAAACTTGGCATGTTACCTCTACTTATGCTCTAGATTGACAAACAGTGTGAAATATTGTAAAATCTAAAAAATGCTTTTTCATATTGGGTACATCCCACTAATTATTTTTAGAATCGGTAGGAGAAGAAAGTAGTGCAGAAAAAATTACAAGTTCCTTAACTTGCAGACTTGCATAAAAAAAATTGTGCAGATGTACTAAACTGAGCCTCACACTTGTTGATAAGGAGTATCTTTCCTACCAAAAAAGTTTGGCAAATGTAATTCATCAAGAAGATCAGCCGAATTATTTTGTGTATTATAACGCCAGTTAGAACTCTGAGTTTCCCCTACTTTCACTTTCATTTTTAGAGGTTGCCGCAGACAGACGCATTTTGCCGGAAAACGAATCTGACATGCCACCTCGAGATTTTGACCAAGGAAAGACAAGTTGATGTGCTTTGATTTGAGGGGTCACTCACTGCTGAACGAAAATTAGGGACATCGCTATGAGAAGAAACGTTAACATTGTCGCCTATGGGAAAACAATTAGTGGACTGTACCCATATTGGGAAGCCTATAAGTAAGTGAAAAATGTCATAGATCTTGACTTTATTTCAAAGTTGGTGTTTTCTATCATTTCTAATTGTTCAAACTTATGAAAAAAAGAATTCTTATTTTGTTGATACATATTTTCAAACAAATTAATTCATAAATAAATTTTCTAGACCCCCCCCCCCCCCCCCCCCCCCCCCCGAACAGACTTGTATCACCCATTGTTTACACATGTATCGTAAATTAAATGTGTATCGATTTGTATATCATTTGTTTATTCAGAATCACAAATATATATTTAGATGAAAGAGTAATTATGTGGAAGTACATGCTCCACTGTCTTTTATTTTCATTACACAAAAATTCACAATTTAGGTCGGAATCGGTATTCAATCAGGGTCAAGGTCAAAGTGAAAGTAGACTTAGCAGAAAGTTATCAAAACTGTTCAGTGCTGTGTCTAGCAGTATAAAGAGGATAGGCATTTGTATTTTACACAGAAGGTAAGAGGTATGCCTTAGTACAGTATTTGTAAATTAGAATTTAATGTTTTTGGAACAGGATGATCAACACGTCACATACACGACATACATCATTGCGAATCAGTCGCTCGGTCAAGCTGGGTGCAGTTGTCTGGGAGTTAAACGATGTGTGTGAATATGCTCGTTAACTGATTTTTTTCTCATATTTTTAGCAATTGCATTACAAGTATTTGTTGAATGTACAATTATTGTCAGTTAAACATGCTTTTTACTTATTCTGCTGAATTAACTTGCCAATGTTAACATGGTGATTTCAAGTGGGAGCAAATTTATAATTTTTAATTAATTACAACTTATGGGCATAAAAGGAATATGGTAAAATTGTATGTGTGGAATGTCTGTGTGTCTGTCTGTCTTTAAATGTGAATGTTTGAGGTGTTTTTGAGCCTGATAATTATTGTGCCATTTATTGAATTGATTTCTTTTTAGGGTCATGGTCATTGGTACAGGAAAACCATGAGGTTCATGCAGGTGGTGTTTAAAACTATTGGCCAGCAAACACACACCCATTTGAAAACATCTTGAAATTTCACGGTCACCAGCAAAAAGTGGCAGTTGGCAAAATGTGTAAGTTAAACTTTTCTTAAAAAAAAAAAAATTATTAAAGTGTGTGTGTGTGTGGGGGGTGGGGGGTACATATTAAATAGGTGATAAAATTGTGAAAGTATTCATGTATAGCTAATTTGTACGTGCACTGCTATATATTTTGCAGCTCATATAGATTTTTTTTCTTGTATAAGAATTTCAAAGTAATTAGATCTACATCTTTGTTTTGTAAATAACGCATTATTTAGATTACACGAATAGAAGAATTGAAATTTCTTAAATATTTGACTGTCAAAATTATGTGATTTGTCAGGAAATTCAAAATTTTGTCTCATTTTCCTACAAATTACAAAATGGTTACCATGGAAACAAAACAACTTTAGAAGATTATTTATTTAATCAGGTAAACCACATATTTTAATTTTTTATAGTTAAAATGATTAGATTAGCACTGATTTTGTCTTAAATGAAAAGTACGGGAAAAGTGATGATACACATGTATTGAGCTATCCATTATTATGATGTCATTATGACGTCATAGATGAGTAAATTTGCATTGGCATAAAAATTGCTTTGAAGCAAATGATTGTATATAGGAGTATAAAGGCTTATAAATTTTTTATTCATAGACCAAATTTCATGAATGATGCATCAATGGACAGGAAATAATCAGTACTTTCTTGCTTTACTACTTTCGGGGTATTTGTTAACTTAATTTTTTTGTCATTTCTGGAGAAACTATGAATTATAGGGTGAGAAATGGTCATATTTTGTGCGGAAATACATTAATTTTTTAAAATAAGAGAAATTGACCCATTTAAGTGCTTGATTATGATTTGACTAATTGTATTTAAAGTTATGAAGGAGAGTAAGAATGATGTAAATGTGTTAATAGGCTAACATTTGACTTAAAACTTGGGTGCAGTTTTGGCTAGATTGGAGCATTTTTTAAGGATATTACACATAGAACTGTATATGCTGTAAAATCTTAATTAATGGTTGAATTTTCATGAAACTTGGCATGTTACCTCTACTTATGCTCTAGATTGACAAACAGTGTGAAATATTGTAAAATCTAAAAAATGCTTTTTCATATTGGGTACATCCCACTAATTATTTTTAGAATCGGTAGGAGAAGAAAGTAGTGCAGAAAAAATTACAAGTTCCTTAACTTGCAGACTTGCATAAAAAAAATTGTGCAGATGTACTAAACTGAGCCTCACACTTGTTGATAAGGAGTATCTTTCCTACCAAAAAAGTTTGGCAAATGTAATTCATCAAGAAGATCAGCCGAATTATTTTGTGTATTATAACGCCAGTTAGAACTCTGAGTTTCCCCTACTTTCACTTTCATTTTTAGAGGTTGCCGCAGACAGACGCATTTTGCCGGAAAACGAATCTGACATGCCACCTCGAGATTTTGACCAAGGAAAGACAAGTTGATGTGCTTTGATTTGAGGGGTCACTCACTGCTGAACGAAAATTAGGGACATCGCTATGAGAAGAAACGTTAACATTGTCGCCTATGGGAAAACAATTAGTGGACTGTACCCATATTGGGAAGCCTATAAGTAAGTGAAAAATGTCATAGATCTTGACTTTATTTCAAAGTTGGTGTTTTCTATCATTTCTAATTGTTCAAACTTATGAAAAAAAGAATTCTTATTTTGTTGATACATATTTTCAAACAAATTAATTCATAAATAAATTTTCTAGACCCCCCCCCCCCCCCCCCCCCCCCCCCCCCGAACAGACTTGTATCACCCATTGTTTACACATGTATCGTAAATTAAATGTGTATCGATTTGTATATCATTTGTTTATTCAGAATCACAAATATATATTTAGATGAAAGAGTAATTATGTGGAAGTACATGCTCCACTGTCTTTTATTTTCATTACACAAAAATTCACAATTTAGGTCGGAATCGGTATTCAATCAGGGTCAAGGTCAAAGTGAAAGTAGACTTAGCAGAAAGTTATCAAAACTGTTCAGTGCTGTGTCTAGCAGTATAAAGAGGATAGGCATTTGTATTTTACACAGAAGGTAAGAGGTATGCCTTAGTACAGTATTTGTAAATTAGAATTTAATGTTTTTGGAACAGGATGATCAACACGTCACATACACGACATACATCATTGCGAATCAGTCGCTCGGTCAAGCTGGGTGCAGTTGTCTGGGAGTTAAACGATGTGTGTGAATATGCTCGTTAACTGATTTTTTTCTCATATTTTTAGCAATTGCATTACAAGTATTTGTTGAATGTACAATTATTGTCAGTTAAACATGCTTTTTACTTATTCTGCTGAATTAACTTGCCAATGTTAACATGGTGATTTCAAGTGGGAGCAAATTTATAATTTTTAATTAATTACAACTTATGGGCATAAAAGGAATATGGTAAAATTGTATGTGTGGAATGTCTGTGTGTCTGTCTGTCTTTAAATGTGAATGTTTGAGGTGTTTTTGAGCCTGATAATTATTGTGCCATTTATTGAATTGATTTCTTTTTAGGGTCATGGTCATTGGTACAGGAAAACCATGAGGTTCATGCAGGTGGTGTTTAAAACTATTGGCCAGCAAACACACACCCATTTGAAAACATCTTGAAATTTCACGGTCACCAGCAAAAAGTGGCAGTTGGCAAAATGTGTAAGTTAAACTTTTCTTAAAAAAAAAAAAATTATTAAAGTGTGTGTGTGTGTGGGGGGTGGGGGGTACATATTAAATAGGTGATAAAATTGTGAAAGTATTCATGTATAGCTAATTTGTACGTGCACTGCTATATATTTTGCAGCTCATATAGATTTTTTTTCTTGTATAAGAATTTCAAAGTAATTAGATCTACATCTTTGTTTTGTAAATAACGCATTATTTAGATTACACGAATAGAAGAATTGAAATTTCTTAAATATTTGACTGTCAAAATTATGTGATTTGTCAGGAAATTCAAAATTTTGTCTCATTTTCCTACAAATTACAAAATGGTTACCATGGAAACAAAACAACTTTAGAAGATTATTTATTTAATCAGGTAAACCACATATTTTAATTTTTTATAGTTAAAATGATTAGATTAGCACTGATTTTGTCTTAAATGAAAAGTACGGGAAAAGTGATGATACACATGTATTGAGCTATCCATTATTATGATGTCATTATGACGTCATAGATGAGTAAATTTGCATTGGCATAAAAATTGCTTTGAAGCAAATGATTGTATATAGGAGTATAAAGGCTTATAAATTTTTTATTCATAGACCAAATTTCATGAATGATGCATCAATGGACAGGAAATAATCAGTACTTTCTTGCTTTACTACTTTCGGGGTATTTGTTAACTTAATTTTTTTGTCATTTCTGGAGAAACTATGAATTATAGGGTGAGAAATGGTCATATTTGTTTGTGCGGAAATACATTAATTTTTTAAAATAAGAGAAATTGACCCATTTAAGTGCTTGATTATGATTTGACTAATTGTATTTAAAGTTATGAAGGAGAGTAAGAATGATGTAAATGTGTTAATAGGCTAACATTTGACTTAAAACTTGGGTGCAGTTTTGGCTAGATTGGAGCATTTTTTAAGGATATTACACATAGAACTGTATATGCTGTAAAATCTTAATTAATGGTTGAATTTTCATGAAACTTGGCATGTTACCTCTACTTATGCTCTAGATTGACAAACAGTGTGAAATATTGTAAAATCTAAAAAATGCTTTTTCATATTGGGTACATCCCACTAATTATTTTTAGAATCGGTAGGAGAAGAAAGTAGTGCAGAAAAAATTACAAGTTCCTTAACTTGCAGACTTGCATAAAAAAAATTGTGCAGATGTACTAAACTGAGCCTCACACTTGTTGATAAGGAGTATCTTTCCTACCAAAAAAGTTTGGCAAATGTAATTCATCAAGAAGATCAGCCGAATTATTTTGTGTATTATAACGCCAGTTAGAACTCTGAGTTTCCCCTACTTTCACTTTCATTTTTAGAGGTTGCCGCAGACAGACGCATTTTGCCGGAAAACGAATCTGACATGCCACCTCGAGATTTTGACCAAGGAAAGACAAGTTGATGTGCTTTGATTTGAGGGGTCACTCACTGCTGAACGAAAATTAGGGACATCGCTATGAGAAGAAACGTTAACATTGTCGCCTATGGGAAAACAATTAGTGGACTGTACCCATATTGGGAAGCCTATAAGTAAGTGAAAAATGTCATAGATCTTGACTTTATTTCAAAGTTGGTGTTTTCTATCATTTCTAATTGTTCAAACTTATGAAAAAAAGAATTCTTATTTTGTTGATACATATTTTCAAACAAATTAATTCATAAATAAATTTTCCCCCCCCCCCCCCCCCCCCCCCCCCCCCCCCCCCCCCCCGAACAGACTTGTATCACCCATTGTTTACACATGTATCGTAAATTAAATGTGTATCGATTTGTATATCATTTGTTTATTCAGAATCACAAATATATATTTAGATGAAAGAGTAATTATGTGGAAGTACATGCTCCACTGTCTTTTATTTTCATTACACAAAAATTCACAATTTAGGTCGGAATCGGTATTCAATCAGGGTCAAGGTCAAAGTGAAAGTAGACTTAGCAGAAAGTTATCAAAACTGTTCAGTGCTGTGTCTAGCAGTATAAAGAGGATAGGCATTTGTATTTTACACAGAAGGTAAGAGGTATGCCTTAGTACAGTATTTGTAAATTAGAATTTAATGTTTTTGGAACAGGATGATCAACACGTCACATACACGACATACATCATTGCGAATCAGTCGCTCGGTCAAGCTGGGTGCAGTTGTCTGGGAGTTAAACGATGTGTGTGAATATGCTCGTTAACTGATTTTTTTCTCATATTTTTAGCAATTGCATTACAAGTATTTGTTGAATGTACAATTATTGTCAGTTAAACATGCTTTTTACTTATTCTGCTGAATTAACTTGCCAATGTTAACATGGTGATTTCAAGTGGGAGCAAATTTATAATTTTTAATTAATTACAACTTATGGGCATAAAAGGAATATGGTAAAATTGTATGTGTGGAATGTCTGTGTGTCTGTCTGTCTTTAAATGTGAATGTTTGAGGTGTTTTTGAGCCTGATAATTATTGTGCCATTTATTGAATTGATTTCTTTTTAGGGTCATGGTCATTGGTACAGGAAAACCATGAGGTTCATGCAGGTGGTGTTTAAAACTATTGGCCAGCAAACACACACCCATTTGAAAACATCTTGAAATTTCACGGTCACCAGCAAAAAGTGGCAGTTGGCAAAATGTGTAAGTTAAACTTTTCTTAAAAAAAAAAAAATTATTAAAGTGTGTGTGTGTGTGGGGGGTGGGGGGTACATATTAAATAGGTGATAAAATTGTGAAAGTATTCATGTATAGCTAATTTGTACGTGCACTGCTATATATTTTGCAGCTCATATAGATTTTTTTTCTTGTATAAGAATTTCAAAGTAATTAGATCTACATCTTTGTTTTGTAAATAACGCATTATTTAGATTACACGAATAGAAGAATTGAAATTTCTTAAATATTTGACTGTCAAAATTATGTGATTTGTCAGGAAATTCAAAATTTTGTCTCATTTTCCTACAAATTACAAAATGGTTACCATGGAAACAAAACAACTTTAGAAGATTATTTATTTAATCAGGTAAACCACATATTTTAATTTTTTATAGTTAAAATGATTAGATTAGCACTGATTTTGTCTTAAATGAAAAGTACGGGAAAAGTGATGATACACATGTATTGAGCTATCCATTATTATGATGTCATTATGACGTCATAGATGAGTAAATTTGCATTGGCATAAAAATTGCTTTGAAGCAAATGATTGTATATAGGAGTATAAAGGCTTATAAATTTTTTATTCATAGACCAAATTTCATGAATGATGCATCAATGGACAGGAAATAATCAGTACTTTCTTGCTTTACTACTTTCGGGGTATTTGTTAACTTAATTTTTTTTGTCATTTCTGGAGAAACTATGAATTATAGGGTGAGAAATGGTCATATTTTGTGCGGAAATACATTAATTTTTTAAAATAAGAGAAATTGACCCATTTAAGTGCTTGATTATGATTTGACTAATTGTATTTAAAGTTATGAAGGAGAGTAAGAATGATGTAAATGTGTTAATAGGCTAACATTTGACTTAAAACTTGGGTGCAGTTTTGGCTAGATTGGAGCATTTTTTAAGGATATTACACATAGAACTGTATATGCTGTAAAATCTTAATTAATGGTTGAATTTTCATGAAACTTGGCATGTTACCTCTACTTATGCTCTAGATTGACAAACAGTGTGAAATATTGTAAAATCTAAAAAATGCTTTTTCATATTGGGTACATCCCACTAATTATTTTTAGAATCGGTAGGAGAAGAAAGTAGTGCAGAAAAAATTACAAGTTCCTTAACTTGCAGACTTGCATAAAAAAAATTGTGCAGATGTACTAAACTGAGCCTCACACTTGTTGATAAGGAGTATCTTTCCTACCAAAAAAGTTTGGCAAATGTAATTCATCAAGAAGATCAGCCGAATTATTTTGTGTATTATAACGCCAGTTAGAACTCTGAGTTTCCCCTACTTTCACTTTCATTTTTAGAGGTTGCCGCAGACAGACGCATTTTGCCGGAAAACGAATCTGACATGCCACCTCGAGATTTTGACCAAGGAAAGACAAGTTGATGTGCTTTGATTTGAGGGGTCACTCACTGCTGAACGAAAATTAGGGACATCGCTATGAGAAGAAACGTTAACATTGTCGCCTATGGGAAAACAATTAGTGGACTGTACCCATATTGGGAAGCCTATAAGTAAGTGAAAAATGTCATAGATCTTGACTTTATTTCAAAGTTGGTGTTTTCTATCATTTCTAATTGTTCAAACTTATGAAAAAAAGAATTCTTATTTTGTTGATACATATTTTCAAACAAATTAATTCATAAATAAATTTTCTAGACCCCCCCCCCCCCCCCCCCCCCCCCCCCCCCCGAACAGACTTGTATCACCCATTGTTTACACATGTATCGTAAATTAAATGTGTATCGATTTGTATATCATTTGTTTATTCAGAATCACAAATATATATTTAGATGAAAGAGTAATTATGTGGAAGTACATGCTCCACTGTCTTTTATTTTCATTACACAAAAATTCACAATTTAGGTCGGAATCGGTATTCAATCAGGGTCAAGGTCAAAGTGAAAGTAGACTTAGCAGAAAGTTATCAAAACTGTTCAGTGCTGTGTCTAGCAGTATAAAGAGGATAGGCATTTGTATTTTACACAGAAGGTAAGAGGTATGCCTTAGTACAGTATTTGTAAATTAGAATTTAATGTTTTTGGAACAGGATGATCAACACGTCACATACACGACATACATCATTGCGAATCAGTCGCTCGGTCAAGCTGGGTGCAGTTGTCTGGGAGTTAAACGATGTGTGTGAATATGCTCGTTAACTGATTTTTTTCTCATATTTTTAGCAATTGCATTACAAGTATTTGTTGAATGTACAATTATTGTCAGTTAAACATGCTTTTTACTTATTCTGCTGAATTAACTTGCCAATGTTAACATGGTGATTTCAAGTGGGAGCAAATTTATAATTTTTAATTAATTACAACTTATGGGCATAAAAGGAATATGGTAAAATTGTATGTGTGGAATGTCTGTGTGTCTGTCTGTCTTTAAATGTGAATGTTTGAGGTGTTTTTGAGCCTGATAATTATTGTGCCATTTATTGAATTGATTTCTTTTTAGGGTCATGGTCATTGGTACAGGAAAACCATGAGGTTCATGCAGGTGGTGTTTAAAACTATTGGCCAGCAAACACACACCCATTTGAAAACATCTTGAAATTTCACGGTCACCAGCAAAAAGTGGCAGTTGGCAAAATGTGTAAGTTAAACTTTTCTTAAAAAAAAAAAAATTATTAAAGTGTGTGTGTGTGTGGGGGGGTGGGGGGTACATATTAAATAGGTGATAAAATTGTGAAAGTATTCATGTATAGCTAATTTGTACGTGCACTGCTATATATTTTGCAGCTCATATAGATTTTTTTTCTTGTATAAGAATTTCAAAGTAATTAGATCTACATCTTTGTTTTGTAAATAACGCATTATTTAGATTACACGAATAGAAGAATTGAAATTTCTTAAATATTTGACTGTCAAAATTATGTGATTTGTCAGGAAATTCAAAATTTTGTCTCATTTTCCTACAAATTACAAAATGGTTACCATGGAAACAAAACAACTTTAGAAGATTATTTATTTAATCAGGTAAACCACATATTTTAATTTTTTATAGTTAAAATGATTAGATTAGCACTGATTTTGTCTTAAATGAAAAGTACGGGAAAAGTGATGATACACATGTATTGAGCTATCCATTATTATGATGTCATTATGACGTCATAGATGAGTAAATTTGCATTGGCATAAAAATTGCTTTGAAGCAAATGATTGTATATAGGAGTATAAAGGCTTATAAATTTTTTATTCATAGACCAAATTTCATGAATGATGCATCAATGGACAGGAAATAATCAGTACTTTCTTGCTTTACTACTTTCGGGGTATTTGTTAACTTAATTTTTTTGTCATTTCTGGAGAAACTATGAATTATAGGGTGAGAAATGGTCATATTTTGTGCGGAAATACATTAATTTTTTAAAATAAGAGAAATTGACCCATTTAAGTGCTTGATTATGATTTGACTAATTGTATTTAAAGTTATGAAGGAGAGTAAGAATGATGTAAATGTGTTAATAGGCTAACATTTGACTTAAAACTTGGGTGCAGTTTTGGCTAGATTGGAGCATTTTTTAAGGATATTACACATAGAACTGTATATGCTGTAAAATCTTAATTAATGGTTGAATTTTCATGAAACTTGGCATGTTACCTCTACTTATGCTCTAGATTGACAAACAGTGTGAAATATTGTAAAATCTAAAAAATGCTTTTTCATATTGGGTACATCCCACTAATTATTTTTAGAATCGGTAGGAGAAGAAAGTAGTGCAGAAAAAATTACAAGTTCCTTAACTTGCAGACTTGCATAAAAAAAATTGTGCAGATGTACTAAACTGAGCCTCACACTTGTTGATAAGGAGTATCTTTCCTACCAAAAAAGTTTGGCAAATGTAATTCATCAAGAAGATCAGCCGAATTATTTTGTGTATTATAACGCCAGTTAGAACTCTGAGTTTCCCCTACTTTCACTTTCATTTTTAGAGGTTGCCGCAGACAGACGCATTTTGCCGGAAAACGAATCTGACATGCCACCTCGAGATTTTGACCAAGGAAAGACAAGTTGATGTGCTTTGATTTGAGGGGTCACTCACTGCTGAACGAAAATTAGGGACATCGCTATGAGAAGAAACGTTAACATTGTCGCCTATGGGAAAACAATTAGTGGACTGTACCCATATTGGGAAGCCTATAAGTAAGTGAAAAATGTCATAGATCTTGACTTTATTTCAAAGTTGGTGTTTTCTATCATTTCTAATTGTTCAAACTTATGAAAAAAAGAATTCTTATTTTGTTGATACATATTTTCAAACAAATTAATTCATAAATAAATTTTCTAGACCCCCCCTCCCCCCCCCCCCCGAACAGACTTGTATCACCCATTGTTTACACATGTATCGTAAATTAAATGTGTATCGATTTGTATATCATTTGTTTATTCAGAATCACAAATATATATTTAGATGAAAGAGTAATTATGTGGAAGTACATGCTCCACTGTCTTTTATTTTCATTACACAAAAATTCACAATTTAGGTCGGAATCGGTATTCAATCAGGGTCAAGGTCAAAGTGAAAGTAGACTTAGCAGAAAGTTATCAAAACTGTTCAGTGCTGTGTCTAGCAGTATAAAGAGGATAGGCATTTGTATTTTACACAGAAGGTAAGAGGTATGCCTTAGTACAGTATTTGTAAATTAGAATTTAATGTTTTTGGAACAGGATGATCAACACGTCACATACACGACATACATCATTGCGAATCAGTCGCTCGGTCAAGCTGGGTGCAGTTGTCTGGGAGTTAAACGATGTGTGTGAATATGCTCGTTAACTGATTTTTTTCTCATATTTTTAGCAATTGCATTACAAGTATTTGTTGAATGTACAATTATTGTCAGTTAAACATGCTTTTTACTTATTCTGCTGAATTAACTTGCCAATGTTAACATGGTGATTTCAAGTGGGAGCAAATTTATAATTTTTAATTAATTACAACTTATGGGCATAAAAGGAATATGGTAAAATTGTATGTGTGGAATGTCTGTGTGTCTGTCTGTCTTTAAATGTGAATGTTTGAGGTGTTTTTGAGCCTGATAATTATTGTGCCATTTATTGAATTGATTTCTTTTTAGGGTCATGGTCATTGGTACAGGAAAACCATGAGGTTCATGCAGGTGGTGTTTAAAACTATTGGCCAGCAAACACACACCCATTTGAAAACATCTTGAAATTTCACGGTCACCAGCAAAAAGTGGCAGTTGGCAAAATGTGTAAGTTAAACTTTTCTTAAAAAAAAAAAAATTATTAAAGTGTGTGTGTGTGTGGGGGGTGGGGGGTACATATTAAATAGGTGATAAAATTGTGAAAGTATTCATGTATAGCTAATTTGTACGTGCACTGCTATATATTTTGCAGCTCATATAGATTTTTTTTCTTGTATAAGAATTTCAAAGTAATTAGATCTACATCTTTGTTTTGTAAATAACGCATTATTTAGATTACACGAATAGAAGAATTGAAATTTCTTAAATATTTGACTGTCAAAATTATGTGATTTGTCAGGAAATTCAAAATTTTGTCTCATTTTCCTACAAATTACAAAATGGTTACCATGGAAACAAAACAACTTTAGAAGATTATTTATTTAATCAGGTAAACCACATATTTTAATTTTTTATAGTTAAAATGATTAGATTAGCACTGATTTTGTCTTAAATGAAAAGTACGGGAAAAGTGATGATACACATGTATTGAGCTATCCATTATTATGATGTCATTATGACGTCATAGATGAGTAAATTTGCATTGGCATAAAAATTGCTTTGAAGCAAATGATTGTATATAGGAGTATAAAGGCTTATAAATTTTTTATTCATAGACCAAATTTCATGAATGATGCATCAATGGACAGGAAATAATCAGTACTTTCTTGCTTTACTACTTTCGGGGTATTTGTTAACTTAATTTTTTTGTCATTTCTGGAGAAACTATGAATTATAGGGTGAGAAATGGTCATATTTTGTGCGGAAATACATTAATTTTTTAAAATAAGAGAAATTGACCCATTTAAGTGCTTGATTATGATTTGACTAATTGTATTTAAAGTTATGAAGGAGAGTAAGAATGATGTAAATGTGTTAATAGGCTAACATTTGACTTAAAACTTGGGTGCAGTTTTGGCTAGATTGGAGCATTTTTTAAGGATATTACACATAGAACTGTATATGCTGTAAAATCTTAATTAATGGTTGAATTTTCATGAAACTTGGCATGTTACCTCTACTTATGCTCTAGATTGACAAACAGTGTGAAATATTGTAAAATCTAAAAAATGCTTTTTCATATTGGGTACATCCCACTAATTATTTTTAGAATCGGTAGGAGAAGAAAGTAGTGCAGAAAAAATTACAAGTTCCTTAACTTGCAGACTTGCATAAAAAAAATTGTGCAGATGTACTAAACTGAGCCTCACACTTGTTGATAAGGAGTATCTTTCCTACCAAAAAAGTTTGGCAAATGTAATTCATCAAGAAGATCAGCCGAATTATTTTGTGTATTATAACGCCAGTTAGAACTCTGAGTTTCCCCTACTTTCACTTTCATTTTTAGAGGTTGCCGCAGACAGACGCATTTTGCCGGAAAACGAATCTGACATGCCACCTCGAGATTTTGACCAAGGAAAGACAAGTTGATGTGCTTTGATTTGAGGGGTCACTCACTGCTGAACGAAAATTAGGGACATCGCTATGAGAAGAAACGTTAACATTGTCGCCTATGGGAAAACAATTAGTGGACTGTACCCATATTGGGAAGCCTATAAGTAAGTGAAAAATGTCATAGATCTTGACTTTATTTCAAAGTTGGTGTTTTCTATCATTTCTAATTGTTCAAACTTATGAAAAAAAGAATTCTTATTTTGTTGATACATATTTTCAAACAAATTAATTCATAAATAAATTTTCTAGACCCCCCCCCCCCCCCCCCCCCGAACAGACTTGTATCACCCATTGTTTACACATGTATCGTAAATTAAATGTGTATCGATTTGTATATCATTTGTTTATTCAGAATCACAAATATATATTTAGATGAAAGAGTAATTATGTGGAAGTACATGCTCCACTGTCTTTTATTTTCATTACACAAAAATTCACAATTTAGGTCGGAATCGGTATTCAATCAGGGTCAAGGTCAAAGTGAAAGTAGACTTAGCAGAAAGTTATCAAAACTGTTCAGTGCTGTGTCTAGCAGTATAAAGAGGATAGGCATTTGTATTTTACACAGAAGGTAAGAGGTATGCCTTAGTACAGTATTTGTAAATTAGAATTTAATGTTTTTGGAACAGGATGATCAACACGTCACATACACGACATACATCATTGCGAATCAGTCGCTCGGTCAAGCTGGGTGCAGTTGTCTGGGAGTTAAACGATGTGTGTGAATATGCTCGTTAACTGATTTTTTTCTCATATTTTTAGCAATTGCATTACAAGTATTTGTTGAATGTACAATTATTGTCAGTTAAACATGCTTTTTACTTATTCTGCTGAATTAACTTGCCAATGTTAACATGGTGATTTCAAGTGGGAGCAAATTTATAATTTTTAATTAATTACAACTTATGGGCATAAAAGGAATATGGTAAAATTGTATGTGTGGAATGTCTGTGTGTCTGTCTGTCTTTAAATGTGAATGTTTGAGGTGTTTTTGAGCCTGATAATTATTGTGCCATTTATTGAATTGATTTCTTTTTAGGGTCATGGTCATTGGTACAGGAAAACCATGAGGTTCATGCAGGTGGTGTTTAAAACTATTGGCCAGCAAACACACACCCATTTGAAAACATCTTGAAATTTCACGGTCACCAGCAAAAAGTGGCAGTTGGCAAAATGTGTAAGTTAAACTTTTCTTAAAAAAAAAAAATTATTAAAGTGTGTGTGTGTGTGGGGGGTGGGGGGTACATATTAAATAGGTGATAAAATTGTGAAAGTATTCATGTATAGCTAATTTGTACGTGCACTGCTATATATTTTGCAGCTCATATAGATTTTTTTTCTTGTATAAGAATTTCAAAGTAATTAGATCTACATCTTTGTTTTGTAAATATTATTATTTAGATTACACGAATAGAAGAATTGAAATTTCTTAAATATTTGACTGTCAAAATTATGTGATTTGTCAGGAAATTCAAAATTTTGTCTCATTTTCCTACAAATTACAAAATGGTTACCATGGAAACAAAACAACTTTAGAAGATTATTTATTTAATCAGGTAAACCACATATTTTAATTTTTTATAGTTAAAATGATTAGATTAGCACTGATTTTGTCTTAAATGAAAAGTACGGGAAAAGTGATGATACACATGTATTGAGCTATCCATTATTATGATGTCATTATGACGTCATAGATGAGTAAATTTGCATTGGCATAAAAATTGCTTTGAAGCAAATGATTGTATATAGGAGTATAAAGGCTTATAAATTTTTTATTCATAGACCAAATTTCATGAATGATGCATCAATGGACAGGAAATAATCAGTACTTTCTTGCTTTACTACTTTCGGGGTATTTGTTAACTTAATTTTTTTGTCATTTCTGGAGAAACTATGAATTATAGGGTGAGAAATGGTCATATTTTGTGCGGAAATACATTAATTTTTTAAAATAAGAGAAATTGACCCATTTAAGTGCTTGATTATGATTTGACTAATTGTATTTAAAGTTATGAAGGAGAGTAAGAATGATGTAAATGTGTTAATAGGCTAACATTTGACTTAAAACTTGGGTGCAGTTTTGGCTAGATTGGAGCATTTTTTAAGGATATTACACATAGAACTGTATATGCTGTAAAATCTTAATTAATGGTTGAATTTTCATGAAACTTGGCATGTTACCTCTACTTATGCTCTAGATTGACAAACAGTGTGAAATATTGTAAAATCTAAAAAATGCTTTTTCATATTGGGTACATCCCACTAATTATTTTTAGAATCGGTAGGAGAAGAAAGTAGTGCAGAAAAAATTACAAGTTCCTTAACTTGCAGACTTGCATAAAAAAAATTGTGCAGATGTACTAAACTGAGCCTCACACTTGTTGATAAGGAGTATCTTTCCTACCAAAAAAGTTTGGCAAATGTAATTCATCAAGAAGATCAGCCGAATTATTTTGTGTATTATAACGCCAGTTAGAACTCTGAGTTTCCCCTACTTTCACTTTCATTTTTAGAGGTTGCCGCAGACAGACGCATTTTGCCGGAAAACGAATCTGACATGCCACCTCGAGATTTTGACCAAGGAAAGACAAGTTGATGTGCTTTGATTTGAGGGGTCACTCACTGCTGAACGAAAATTAGGGACATCGCTATGAGAAGAAACGTTAACATTGTCGCCTATGGGAAAACAATTAGTGGACTGTACCCATATTGGGAAGCCTATAAGTAAGTGAAAAATGTCATAGATCTTGACTTTATTTCAAAGTTGGTGTTTTCTATCATTTCTAATTGTTCAAACTTATGAAAAAAAGAATTCTTATTTTGTTGATACATATTTTCAAACAAATTAATTCATAAATAAATTTTCTAGACCCCCCCCCCCCCCCCCCGAACAGACTTGTATCACCCATTGTTTACACATGTATCGTAAATTAAATGTGTATCGATTTGTATATCATTTGTTTATTCAGAATCACAAATATATATTTAGATGAAAGAGTAATTATGTGGAAGTACATGCTCCACTGTCTTTTATTTTCATTACACAAAAATTCACAATTTAGGTCGGAATCGGTATTCAATCAGGGTCAAGGTCAAAGTGAAAGTAGACTTAGCAGAAAGTTATCAAAACTGTTCAGTGCTGTGTCTAGCAGTATAAAGAGGATAGGCATTTGTATTTTACACAGAAGGTAAGAGGTATGCCTTAGTACAGTATTTGTAAATTAGAATTTAATGTTTTTGGAACAGGATGATCAACACGTCACATACACGACATACATCATTGCGAATCAGTCGCTCGGTCAAGCTGGGTGCAGTTGTCTGGGAGTTAAACGATGTGTGTGAATATGCTCGTTAACTGATTTTTTTCTCATATTTTTAGCAATTGCATTACAAGTATTTGTTGAATGTACAATTATTGTCAGTTAAACATGCTTTTTACTTATTCTGCTGAATTAACTTGCCAATGTTAACATGGTGATTTCAAGTGGGAGCAAATTTATAATTTTTAATTAATTACAACTTATGGGCATAAAAGGAATATGGTAAAATTGTATGTGTGGAATGTCTGTGTGTCTGTCTGTCTTTAAATGTGAATGTTTGAGGTGTTTTTGAGCCTGATAATTATTGTGCCATTTATTGAATTGATTTCTTTTTAGGGTCATGGTCATTGGTACAGGAAAACCATGAGGTTCATGCAGGTGGTGTTTAAAACTATTGGCCAGCAAACACACACCCATTTGAAAACATCTTGAAATTTCACGGTCACCAGCAAAAAGTGGCAGTTGGCAAAATGTGTAAGTTAAACTTTTCTTAAAAAAAAAAAAATTATTAAAGTGTGTGTGTGTGTGGGGGGTGGGGGGTACATATTAAATAGGTGATAAAATTGTGAAAGTATTCATGTATAGCTAATTTGTACGTGCACTGCTATATATTTTGCAGCTCATATAGATTTTTTTTCTTGTATAAGAATTTCAAAGTAATTAGATCTACATCTTTGTTTTGTAAATAACGCATTATTTAGATTACACGAATAGAAGAATTGAAATTTCTTAAATATTTGACTGTCAAAATTATGTGATTTGTCAGGAAATTCAAAATTTTGTCTCATTTTCCTACAAATTACAAAATGGTTACCATGGAAACAAAACAACTTTAGAAGATTATTTATTTAATCAGGTAAACCACATATTTTAATTTTTTATAGTTAAAATGATTAGATTAGCACTGATTTTGTCTTAAATGAAAAGTACGGGAAAAGTGATGATACACATGTATTGAGCTATCCATTATTATGATGTCATTATGACGTCATAGATGAGTAAATTTGCATTGGCATAAAAATTGCTTTGAAGCAAATGATTGTATATAGGAGTATAAAGGCTTATAAATTTTTTATTCATAGACCAAATTTCATGAATGATGCATCAATGGACAGGAAATAATCAGTACTTTCTTGCTTTACTACTTTCGGGGTATTTGTTAACTTAATTTTTTTGTCATTTCTGGAGAAACTATGAATTATAGGGTGAGAAATGGTCATATTTTGTGCGGAAATACATTAATTTTTTAAAATAAGAGAAATTGACCCATTTAAGTGCTTGATTATGATTTGACTAATTGTATTTAAAGTTATGAAGGAGAGTAAGAATGATGTAAATGTGTTAATAGGCTAACATTTGACTTAAAACTTGGGTGCAGTTTTGGCTAGATTGGAGCATTTTTTAAGGATATTACACATAGAACTGTATATGCTGTAAAATCTTAATTAATGGTTGAATTTTCATGAAACTTGGCATGTTACCTCTACTTATGCTCTAGATTGACAAACAGTGTGAAATATTGTAAAATCTAAAAAATGCTTTTTCATATTGGGTACATCCCACTAATTATTTTTAGAATCGGTAGGAGAAGAAAGTAGTGCAGAAAAAATTACAAGTTCCTTAACTTGCAGACTTGCATAAAAAAAATTGTGCAGATGTACTAAACTGAGCCTCACACTTGTTGATAAGGAGTATCTTTCCTACCAAAAAAGTTTGGCAAATGTAATTCATCAAGAAGATCAGCCGAATTATTTTGTGTATTATAACGCCAGTTAGAACTCTGAGTTTCCCCTACTTTCACTTTCATTTTTAGAGGTTGCCGCAGACAGACGCATTTTGCCGGAAAACGAATCTGACATGCCACCTCGAGATTTTGACCAAGGAAAGACAAGTTGATGTGCTTTGATTTGAGGGGTCACTCACTGCTGAACGAAAATTAGGGACATCGCTATGAGAAGAAACGTTAACATTGTCGCCTATGGGAAAACAATTAGTGGACTGTACCCATATTGGGAAGCCTATAAGTAAGTGAAAAATGTCATAGATCTTGACTTTATTTCAAAGTTGGTGTTTTCTATCATTTCTAATTGTTCAAACTTATGAAAAAAAGAATTCTTATTTTGTTGATACATATTTTCAAACAAATTAATTCATAAATAAATTTTCTAGACCCCCCCCCCCCCCCCCCCCCCGAACAGACTTGTATCACCCATTGTTTACACATGTATCGTAAATTAAATGTGTATCGATTTGTATATCATTTGTTTATTCAGAATCACAAATATATATTTAGATGAAAGAGTAATTATGTGGAAGTACATGCTCCA